ACTTCCCTCCCACCCGCGACTCTCCCATCTCCCGCTCCCTCTCCCATTCCATTCACATCAAGATTCATTTTCAATTATCTTTATATATAGAAGATCAATTTAGTATATATTAAGTAAAGATTTCAACAGTTTGCACCCACACAGAAACACGAAGTGTAAAGTACTGTTTGAGTACTATAGCATTAATTCACATTGTACAACACATTAAAGACAGAGATCCTATGTGGGGAGTAAGTGCACCGTGACTCCTGTTGTTGACTTAACAATTGACACTCTTGTTTATGGCATCAGTAATCACCCTAGGCTATTGTCGTGAGTTTCCAAGGCTATGGAAGCTTTTTGAGTTCGCCAACTCCAATCTTATTTAGACAAGGTCATAGTCAAAGTGGAAGTTCTCTCCTCCCTTCAGAGAAAGGTATCTCCTTCTTTGATGGCCTGTTCTTTCCACTGGGGTCTCCTTTCCACTGGGGTCTCACTCACAGAGATCTTTCATTTAGGTTTTTTTCTTTTTTTTTTGCCAGAGTGTCTTGGCTTTCCATGCCTAAAATACTCTCATGGGCTCTTCAGCCAGATCCGAATGCCTAAAGGGCTGATTCTGTGGCCAGAGTGCTGTTTAGGACATCTGCCATTCTATGAGTCTGCTGTGTATCCTGCTTCCCATGTTGGATCATTCTCTCCTGTTTAATCCTATCAGTATTTGCAGACACTAGTTTTGTTTATGTGATCCCTTTGATATAGTAGTGAATTTTTTTCTCCTATAGGTTATATGTGATATCTTCAACATTAATAGCAAATACTTGTGCTATTTGTATTGGGTTAGTTTTCTCAGAGTGTTTTCCATTTTTTTAAGAGAGAATAATCATTGCCTTAATATGACTCTTTAATAGTAAATAGAAAGTAGAATGTCTTTAGAACATAGCATACTTTTATATGAAGCAAATATTATTTTGATGCTAATTCTTTGGATAATAATAAAGCACCCTGAAATTTTTAAAAATATTTTTGTCAGAAGAACATATACTTAGGGGTAGACAATTAACCTGTTGCCTGTGAGGCCAGCATCCCTTGTGAGCACTGGTTTGAGTCTTGGCTGCTGCTCTTCCAATCAAGCTCCCTGCTAATGCATCTGGGAAAGCAGCAGAAAATGGCTCAACTATTTGGGCCTGTGACACCCAAATGGGAGACCTGGATGGAATTCCAGGCTCCTGGCTTCAGCCTGGCCCATCTCTGGCCATTGTGGCCATTCGGGCAGTGAACTAGCAGATGGAAGGTAAATTTCTCTCCACATCGCTGTCTCTAACTCTGCCTTTCAAATAAATGAATGCATCTTTAAAGAAAACCAAAAAATATACTTAGGTGTTTATTTTTTCTGTTATTTGTTAAAGATTTATTTATTTACTTATTTGAAAGTCAGAATTATAGAGAGGGAGGGAGGGAGAGACCGAGACAGAGAGAGAGAGGGAGCAGTCATCCACTGGTTCATTCTCCAAGTGGCTGCAACGGCCAGGGCTGGACCAGGCAGAAGTCAGGAGTCAGAAGATTCTTACAGGTCTCCCAAGTGGGTGCAGGAGCCTGAGTACTTGGGCCATTTTCTGCTGCTTTCCTTGGCTATTAGCACACAGCTGGATCAGAAGTGGAGCAGCTGGAACTTAAGCAGGTGCCCGTATGGGATATCTGTGCTGCCAATGGTGGCTTAACCCACTGCACCACAGCATCCACCCCTTGTATTTTTTTTACACAAATATTAGAAATGTACTATGAAATGAAAATAAAATTTTTAACTAAGCATGTCCATTTGTTTTTTTCTCCTTTCTGCTTTTTTTTTTAAAGATTTATTTATTTGAAAGTCAGAGATACAGAGAGAGAGAGAGAAAGGGAGAAACAGAGAGAGAGAGAGAGAGAGAGAGAGAGAGATCTCCCCAAGTGACCACAACAGCCAGGGCTGAGCCAAGCCAAAGCATGGAGTCAGGACCTTCATCCAGGTCTCCCACATAGGTCGCCGGGGCCCACATACTTGGGCCATCTTCTGCTGCTTCTCCCAGGCGACTACTAGGGAGCTGGATCGGACGTGGAGCAGCTTTGACGTGTACCAGCACCCATAAAGGATGCCGGCACCACAGATGACGGCTTTGCTCACTACACCACAATGCTGGCCCTTCCTGTCTGCTTTTAAAACATGCTCACAATGTCACAAGAGTCTTGTAATAAAAATGGAACATGCAGTTGCTTGTCCCTAGATGCAGGGAAGAAGAGAAAAAGATTCCTCTATAACAAAATAACTACAAACTTTCCTGAGTTTATTGTTCATGCATCTGGGGTCAGCTGGGAGCCAGCAAGGCATTCCCATATTTTAAAAAATATGTTCTCCACAAACCTCACATTATAGAAAAGGAACAGAATCTCTGCCAATAAATATGATATCTCCAGTTACTTGATTGACTAGATGCCATGTCCTACACAATGATTTTCCATCTGTTTAAGGAGAAATAGGTGCCTTGCAGGAAAACTCTTCCTAATTGCTTTCACAAGGTTAATTGCCCTGGTAACATCATAAGAGCTAAGTTTGAAAAGAAAAGGCTCAAGCTATTAGAGGGTGAATTTTAGAGGCAAACAAGTCAATTTATACTGAAAGTAACAAGTAACAAATATATATATATAGGTATAAAAACTCAGTAATATATTTGTTTTTCTAAGTTATATACACATTGACTATATACAGGCAAAATGTATGAAATGTTGAAATTAAATTTGTAATTTATATGAACAGTTGTCATTCTGATATTTCATTTGACATTATTGAAATCAGTCTCTGGGGCTATGTTATAATCATTGTGATATTAAATATGTCCATTTGGCAAATAAATAACATACTTTCATTCTAGGAATCCTAGGAAGGCTAGGAATGCTGGCATTGGTGCTAATTCATTTTTCCTTTAGCTTTAGTGTGCATATTATATTATCATTAAGAAGTTGTTCTGAGATTATTCTTATTCACCCATGTATATCAGACTTTCTTTAGTGAGGAATATATGCTGGGTGGAACATCTTTTTTGTGGAATGAAGCAGAATATGAGCATCTCAAATATCTTTGTCTTTTAAATCACCTTCCGTCATAACAAGCCATGGGCCAGATATTTGTCCAGACTTAAAAGTGTATATGTGGTTTTGTGTGTGAATGAGAGAGAATTCCAGAAACAGGTATTATATATTTCAAAAATTCATACTTTGAGAAAGAATATAAATAATATTTGAATGTTTACCCCCAAAGTCTAGTAAATTCCATTTAGATGCAAGGCCCATTCCAAGTCACACTTTTTAGAAATCACTGTAAGCCTATTCTAATTTCCTAGTTATTTCGATACATGTTACTTACTTTTGAGCACAAGCTAAACATCAAAATTTTTAGCCAGTGAAATTTACAGTTTAGGCCCACATGACCTACAAGTAGTGTGTGCGAATAAGCATGCCCTCAAGATTCTCATCTTGGCACAGCTCTAGAGGTAAGACTTACCTGAGCCTAGGAAACTCAGTCCCCTTGAGGGGTCCCCAGCAGGTGTATCTTATCCTTTGTTTTCATTTCGCATAGCTCAATTTTACACAGAGATTTTAATAGAACGACTTGGCTCGTATCTTTTTAACTTCAGAATCCTGAGTGTGATCCAACAAGCTTCTAATCAATGCAATTAAGGGAATGTAAGTGGGAGATTTTGAGGCAAGATAGGCAGTTTATCAGGCCTGAATTTCTGAAATCAAATTAAAGCAGTCTTGTGTTTCTTGATAAAACACAAGGATCACAGAGAGTTGACAATTTACTCTGTTGTCATTCACATCATCTCCCACCTCTGCCAAGTTTTTAACACTTTTACAAACTAATTTGGCCCTGTTGATGCTTTGATTAGTCAAAGTACAGATATCTTAATCACTGCAAAAATGAACAGTCTAAAGATAGCATAGATAAAGAAAACAGATTTTTGTAAAAAAATTTTAAAGATTTTATGTATTTATTCAAGAGACAGAGTTACAGACAGAGAAAGGGAGAGACAGAGAGAAAGGTCTTCCATCTGCTAGTTCACTCCCCAAATGGCTGCAATGGTCTGAAGACAGGAGACAGGAGCCTCCTTCAGGTCTCCCACACGGACGCAGTAACATATTAAATAGATGGATATTTAAATTATAAAAAAGACTCATAGAGAAGATGATTACTGTGGTGAAGAATTGTCTTCTTTCAAAAGGAGTTAGGATACCAGGCTCACTTTTTTCATACAGAATTCTATTCAAGCAGTTGTGATAGTAAAGAGAGAAACACACACACACACACACACACACACACACAAAAGAGGAGGAGCGCCTGGGTGGAGGGGCACACTAGAATGTGTGAAGATGTCTCACTATTCATTAAGGAAACAGTCTTAGCCTTCTGTGGAGTCTTCAAAAGGTCAAACAGGAAGAGAATCCAGGCCTTTAATTTGCATGTCCAATCCAACAAAGATGTCTTAAGATTCTGAGGAAGAATTTAGGTCATTGTCAATCAGCTATTTCCAACCTGCCACAAATAGATAGGGGGGGAAATCAAGGTCATTGCTAATGAGACCTTTGTTTGGGCAAAAGTATTGTAGCCCTATCACTCTCCTTGATATTTAAGATAAAATAAGCACAAGTAATGTCTCTTAATATGTGCTTAAGGCATATTCTGCTAGCATTCCAAGGCATAAACTTATAAATATATTATATTGCTCTTCAATTAATGAATGGGATATGATTTAGGCAAGGCATACTGCTTTACTACTAATCCAAAGATGAAATTAGAAGATTCATTTTCTATATTTGAGTCTCACTGTCAATGTTTCTCTTGTTAAAGAAAAAATTGTATATTTTTCATTGTTATTTTTGTTTATTATATATCATGAAATATCAGACTTCTAATAATGTATTCTTCGTAATTAAGTTATTAGAAAAGTCCAGTGATGAAAATTCTAATTGTGCAACTGTTATTTTCATAGGAAACTTATAGAGACTCATCTGAAAACCATTCCCAGTCGTGCATTTTCAAATCTGCCCAATATTTCCAGGATGTAAGTCTTTTTATTTTTTGCTATAAAAAGAAATGTGTAATTGTGACATGCTATTTTCTGAATGTGTTTTATTAAAAGAAATACACCTGTGTAAATCAATGGCTTCCACATGTTTAATGTATATAAAAAGTTTATGCACAGGATGTTAATTGGTTTTGCTAACTCTCCTCTCTAATTCCTGGATGATTTTTTAAACCTAAAGCAAATTCAAATTCATTTGGCCTTGAGAAGTTTTATAATTCTTGATGTGTGTTAATATATCTTGGGATACAACTAAACCTTAGCTAGGAATCTCTCCTAGAAACAATTTATGTGCCTCTAATCCATTTTTCCAAGTTACCCATTCTAGATTCAGTTTCACCACTAATACAAATGTTTACGTTGTGCCATAAATTTAATGTGGTTTCAGATTTCTTTCACTTCAAAAAAAAAAAAAAGGAAAGAAAAAGAAAGCTTTTAAAACTCTAAACCTTAAAAACAGAATTGCCTCCATTCCAGGGAGGGGGAAAAGGACTCGCATGGTGGGTTGACAAAGAGCACAGTTGTTTGCCAAATGAACCAAGTCTTCACTTCTCTCATTGATTCCGACAGGCAATGCAGATCATTCAGGCATACCAAATAATTCAACCAAGGGCAACCACACAGTTTTGGGCTAAATTTATTCATTTCATGACCATTTCTTGAGTGTCTATTGTGTCATTTCAGCAGTTCTTGCCCACAAGGGTGTTTGATGTTGTTTTGTTGCAGACTGCTACTGGCATCTACTAGACAGAAGTAAAGGATGCTGCTAGCATCCTGCACACCCAGGATACTCCTCACAACAAAGAATGTTCTAGCTTAAAATATAAACCCTACTGAAGCCGAGGGACCATTCTAAACACCTTAATGCTGCTAACCAGCTCTTCCTTCTTCAAACTCTTACCTCTTTGGGTTTCCTTAATGTTTTTCTCTCATCTCTCCTCTTATCACCTTACCTTGGCTGCTTTCTGTCTCCTTTCCTGACTTTTATTTCATTTTTGCCAACTCCTTAACTGCCAGTTATTTCTTTGAGTAGCTTGTCCTTCTTCTTGGCACCCTATTCTTGCTTTTCTTCGGCTTCACAGTTCCCTAATACAGCTAATTCCTAAATGAATACCTTTAGTCCTGACTCACTTGTACCATTCAGGCCTGCATTTCAAACTTCCTTCCAAATATTGCAATTAGGGGTAGCCATTTTGATGCAGCCATTTTGATGCAGCCATTTTGGGCCGCCCACACTCCGTATTGGAGTGCCTTGTTCAAGTTCCAGCTCCCCTTCTGTTTCCAGCTTCCTGCTAATGTGCACCCTCAGGGGCAGCAGGGAATGGCCCAAGTGGTTGAGTCCCATCTGCCCATTTGGGAGACCTGGAGTAAGTCCCTGGCTTCAGCCTTTGGGGAAATTTGGTGGAGTGAACTAGCAAATGGGAAACCTCTTGAACTCTTTCCCTCCCTCTTTCTTTGTAAAAAATAAATTTTGAAGTAAAATATTTAATATTGGAGACCCACAGGCACTTTAAGCTCAGCATATCTGAAAAAAATACACATCATCTTCATTTGAAATAGTTCTTCCTCTACTCTTTATCCTTTCAACAGCACCACCACTGAACATCCTCAAAGTTTAAAAAAATATTCTCACATTTCTCTTGAGCTTTTCCTTTCCACCAGCTCCTTTATACAGCTGTTTATCTGGTATCTTCACTTTGATGTGTCAGTAGTCTAGCTGTAGCTGCACTCATTCATTCATTCAACAAATATTTACTGTGGCATGCTTTGTTCTAACACTTTGGTAGATGCTCCATATGTAACAGCAGACAACATTCATGGAGTCTCCAGTTTCAATTCCAAGACAGTGATGAGTCCTGTGATGGGGTCAGTTATTGGGTGCCATTGAGGCTCATGTGAAGGGCATAGTACCTGCTAAGAACTGAAAGGTGGTAAAGCAAGGCTTCATGAAAGAAATGGTACCTAACCTATGATCTGAATTATCTACCAAAGAAGTAGTTGGAAAGATAGTTCACAGCAAATGAGAAAAGTCTATGCTTTAAATTTGTGGGGTCTGGAGCTTGGGCTGAAAGGAGGGCAGTGGAAAAATATAAATTTGGACCGTAAGCCAATGCAAGGTCTTTTGAGTCATATGAAAGAGTATGAAATCTTCCTTCATGATCAAGCCCTTGTATAGTTTCAAATAGGAAACTGAAATGATGAGATTTTATTTTAGAAACATGCCCTAGGCCGGCGCCGTGGCTCAATAGGCTAAACCTCCGCCTGTGGCGCCAGCACACCGTGTTCTAGTCCCGGTCGGGGCGCCGGATTCTGTCCCGGTTGCCCCTCTTCCAGGCCAGCTCTCTGCTGTGGCCCGGGAAGGCAGTGGAGGATGGCCCAGGTCCTTGGGCCCTGCATCCGCACGGGAGACCAGGAGAAGCAGCTGGCTCCTGGCTTCGGATCAGCGTGGTGCGCCAGCCGCAGCACATCGGCCGCAGCAGCCATTGCAGGGTGAACCAACGGCAAAAGGAAGACCTTCCTCTCTGTCTGTCTCTCTCGCTGTGCACTCTGCCTGTCAAAAAGGAAAGATGGAAGGGAGGAAGGAAGGAAGGAAGGAAGGAAGGAAGGAAGGAAGGAAGGAAGGAAAGAAAGAGATGCCCTTGGCAGTTCTGGGGAGAGAGGAGTTGAAGCAGAGCAAAGCTGCTATCTAGGAAGCCAGTGAAGAGACTGATGCAGCACCCAGGAGAAAAGGAACGGCACATTAAAGGAAAACGGTACAGAGATGTGAAGAACGAACAGCTAAGAATGGACCAGCTTGAACCTTGATTGGTTTGGAGGTAGAGGGAGACAGAGAAAAGTTGCATTTATGTTTCTGTTGATGAGAAGCATTGATGAGCACATTCAGTGAGACAGAGGAGAAGAAGGTTGTGTATTTGGTGTAGAGAGGCAGGAGGTCCATTAGGAATTCAATCTGGGACACATTCCAGATGCAGTAATATTCAGTAGACATTAAGACATCATAGACATTATTTTTTCATTCATTAGACAAACATGTATTCACAGCCCCTAAATGTGCTAATCATTGTTATACAAGCTGGGAATACTTCAGGGAACAAATGGACAAAGATCCACACCCCCATGGAGTTTATATTCAAATTGAGGGAATAGACAAAGAGCAAAAAATGTAGTAAAAAAAATAGTAAATCATTTTATTAATTTAGAAGGAAATAACTGAGATGGGGGAAAGTAGAGTTTGGAGAACTAGAAGTTCTGGGTGTGTGAGGACAATCATGGAGAGATGTAGGTGGAGATTGAGACAGAAGTCAGTGCAATTTGGACTAGGGGAAAGGATCTGTAGGGACGGAAAAGCAAAAGAGTGAAGAAAGAAGAATTTTAAGAGCACACAGTTCTTGGTTGGGGGGGGGTTGGGAGGGGAGGGAGTCCAAATAGAGGGATTGACTTTCTATAGGAGGATGATCTGCTTTTACATTGTAACAAGAGGATTATGGTAACAAATAGGGAAGACGCAGGCAAATTAATAGTTTATTGGTGGATATTTCAAGGATCTTCCAACTCAAGGTTTCAACCTTTTACAAACTACTTGAAGGTTATCTATTAAAAGCTAAGTGTGGAGTGACAGAGTTAGAAATTTGAGGAGGTCTGAAATAGAAGTGATGGGCAGTAAGAAAAGGGTTAACTGAGATACAGGAGACATCTGATAAGAATCGAAGGTGCCACTGAGGCTTCCTCCAGTGGGACTGTGCTGGATTCTCCACTCTGGACTAAGTGCTCCCAGTACATCTACGGAATACTAACATGACAGATTTGTCGTGTTAATCCCATTCCACCATCTGTATCTCCCACTACTGTGAGTTCCTTGAAACTAGGGAACACCTCTGTTTTGTCAATATCCAGAAGGATATCTGACACACAGTAACAGTTCAACATATTTTTAAAGCACATATACATACATGAATATAGTTAAAGATCTGCTATCTCAGTGGAAGGAGACAGATGAGTAGGAGGCCCTAGGCTTACCTGGGACAGTGCAAATTCCCACCTGTTACTATGCATGATTATTAATAGCACCATATTTTAACTCACAAAAACATCCTGGGTTGGATGTTAAATGATATGGTCACCATAGTGATTACATAAAATGTGCATGTTAAAAAGGAATTTGAAGAAGTGGGGGGGGGGACTCTGTTATTTTCCTAGTTATAAAAATGAGACAAGTAAGCATGGAAATGCTACTTTCATCCCACTAAATAAAGAGATCCAACAAGTTGTCTCCACAGCCAGTCTACAGCAGCTCTTCAAGAAAGTGACACTAGATTGGAGAAACAAGAAAGATATGTGCTGAAAGACTATCCCTCCAAAACCTTAAGAAAGGCCTACATTTCTTAACTAAGAAACCCAGCAGAAAATTTGGAGCAATAGATAAAATGCATGGTTAGGAAAACTAGCTAGCAACTTTCAAAATGAATCTTACTCTTTTGGATGGCTCAGTTTAACTCATGATAAATCTTGCAGTCTCTATACAGTAAATTATTTCTTTTCAATGTGTTCTCTTTTTTTTGACAGGCAGAGTGGACAGTGAGAGAGAGAGACAGAGAGAAAGGTCTTCCTTTGCTGTTGGTTCACCCTCCAATGGCTGCTGTGGCTGGCGTGCTGCGGCCGGCGCATCGCGCTGATTCAAAGCCAGGAGCCAGGTGCTTTTCCTGGTCTCCCATGCGGGTGCAGGGCCCAAGTACTTGGGCCAGCCTCCACTGCCTTCCTGGGCCACAGCAGAGAGCTGGCCTGGAAGAGGGGCAACTGGGACAGAATCTGGCACCCCGACCGGGACTAGAACCCGGTGTGCCGGCGCCACAAGGCGGAGGATTAGCCTAGTGAGCGGTGGCGCCGGCCTCAATGTGTTCTTAATGTTATTATCCACAAAGGGCAAAGGATTGGGAGACCTGGTAAATAAAAAGATAATTGCTTAGAGAATAGGTATTTCAAAACAGAAAGCAGAGGACCATTATTAGAATATTCACAGTAACAATGCTGAAAACTCAGAATGGAACAATTAATGCTCCCCATATAAACATTGTGTCCCTGAAAATATTTTATGGGCAGATTCAATTCAAACTATAGGCCAGTGGTTCTCAACCTTACTTGCCCATTAATCACCCAGGAAGCTTTTGAAAAGTAAAAATACTCACTCCATCCCTCATAAACTTGATTTAATTATCCTAGACAGAGTCTTGGATATCTGTTTTACGAAAACCCAGGTAGTTCAACTGCATGTCCAGGGTTGAGAATTTCTGCTATGGCTACAGCTGAACACCATCTGCTAATCATTAATTTTCCCAAATGTCACAGAGATACTTCACAAAAGAAAATGTCATTACATTTGTCTGTATTAGTCATCCTCATTACAAGATGGAATTTGAAGAAACTAGTTGAAATATTAGTCCTTACACATACTTGGCAAGTTGTATTTAGGAGTTTCTCTTTTCTATTTTTTAGTACTTAAAACTTTTATTGAGTTGTCATTTGCTTGCAAAGTTTGAAGCAAATCTTGAATTTTCCAGCCTCGTTCAAAATCAAAATGAGAAATCAAGAGACCACGTAGTTACCACCCTATAAGATGTTTTACCAAAGAACTGTAGCTCTCTCTTCATCTTTGAAACCACATTGCTAATCCCATGTACTAGATGCTCCATTAAAAAGGCTTTTATTCATTCTATTCTTCTTTTCTAATGCTTTCATTTTTGTTATTTTGAGTAATACACCATTTATTCACTCATTAGCTTACATATTTTGAGTGTCCGATACATATATGATCACTATGAAAAGCACTCAAGATTCAGTGGTCAAAAACATCCAGTTCTCTTGGGAGCACTTAGTCTACTGAGACAACATAGATCAAATCTCATCCAAATGATTGGAGAGTTGCCCTATAGCAGTTAGTGAAAGGAGAAGTCCATGGTGTTATATAGACATCTTATGAGAAATTAAAAATAATCAGGAAGTTGGCAAAAGCTTCAGAAGGAAGTAAGAGACATTTAGATGAATAGGACATAACATGTTAAGATGTTCAAGTATCCACAGCATCTAAAAACAAGTAGTCATTGTTTTAACATAATGAAGGTTGTACACACTGAATGATCTGGGAAGCCCCTGACAAAGAATTTGTGTCAAAAATAGCATGTTTGATGTTCAGAACCCTACTTACTTTCTATTTTGCTTTCTATTTTTGTGATGTTCAGCTACTTATCTATAGACACAACTCTGCAGCGGCTGGAATCGCAGTCCTTCTACAACTTGAGTAAAATGACTCACATGTAAGTACAGGGGAAAGTGCAGCATTGGCCCAAGCCATGGCACCTTCCATTGATCATTTTTGGACTTTTGTGGCAATAAGGGCTTGTTTCTAGATTATGGGTTAAAACTTCTATTTATGATTAAATTTTTAATTTGTTCTCACTCTCATTTATGCCAGTCCATCCTAATAAGTTCTCACTTCCTCTGTGACAAGTCAAAAATCCTGTTCTTGGGAGCAGACATGTGGCACAGCAGATAAGTCACTGAGTACAATGCCCAGTTCCCATATGGGAGTGCACAGCTCCACTTCCTATTCAATGCTCCTCTAATCGCTGGAGGCAGCACCTGCCGCCCCCCTGAGAGACCCAGATTGACTTACTGGCTCCTGACTTTGACCTAGCCCAGTCCTAGAGGTTAAGTGCTTCTTTTTTTTTTAATTAATTATTTTTTTTTTTGACAGGCAGGGTGGACAGTGAGAGAGAGAGACAGAGAGAAAGGTCTTCCTTTGCCGTTGGTTCACCCTCCAATGGCCGCCGCGGCCGGCGCACCGCAATGATCCAATGGCAGGAGCCAGGTACTTATCCTGGTCTCCCATGGCTTGCAGGGCCCAAGCACTTGGGCCATCCTCCACTGCACTCCCTGGCCACAGCAGAGATCTGGCCTAGAAGAGGGGCAACCGGGACAGAATCCGGCGCCCCGACCGGGACTAGAACCCGGTGTGCTGGCGCCACTAGGCGGAGGATTAGCCTAGTGAGCTGCGCGCCGGTCGTAAGTGCTTCTGAACCAGCAATAGATGGTCTCTCTCCACCTGTCTGTCTCTCTTGCTCTGTATTTACTTTTCAAATAAAATGAAAACAAATAAAAATCAACAATAAAATCCTCAGAGTCCCTGGCATTAAAAAATCTTGCTCTTAAATTGCTCTTCATTGCGTTGTTACTGTGCCAACATATCTTATTGGTGTGGATGTCAGTGTGCTAATAAATATATACCAGCTACCTGCTTGATTCCATGGTCTGTGCAAGATTTTGCAAAACTGACATTTTTTGGTGAAAAATTCCAGCTCTGGAATTGGTCAGAGTCAAAACTGGATACGGGTTTTCTGACTGCTCACTATGTGACCATGGATGAATCATGCAAACTTTCCCAACCTCATTTGTAAAATTAGGAAATAAGAGTTCCAGCATCACATGGCTATTGTAAATATTGAATGACATAATACATATGGGCATTTAGCACAGTGCCTAGCCCGTCAATACTAGTCAATATACTTCACAAATAATATTTTACTTCTCTGGTAAATTATAAACTATAAAAGGTTTTATATACTCACATTGAATTCTTTTTAGCATCCATGTATTACGAAATACTATTTTCTTGATGATGAAAAATACTTAAATATAAATACTAAGTATGCTCTAGACATTCTGCCAACCATTTTAGGTGTATTATTTAACCATAATTTAACACTAAAAAAATACCTCTACAAAGCAGAGATTATAGTTTCCATTACTTGTGTAAGAAAAGCATAAGTGCAGAAAGGCTAAGTATATTTTCTTTGGTCACATGCTTACTAAAGAATAGGGCTACAATTTTTACTATAAATTTCTGACTCAAAAATCCTTACTGAGACCCAAAACGTTGCTTCTGGCTGTGGCAGGCTAGTTTACATCCCTTCGACCAGGTCTGAGAATAACTAGAGGAGCTGGATTTTTTTTTTTTTTTTAACACAGGCAGAGTGGACAGTGAGAGAGAAAGAGACAGAGAGAAAGGTCTTCCTTTTGCCGTTGGTTCACCCTCCAACAGCCGTCGCGGCCAGCGCGCTGCGGCCAGCACACCGCGCCTATCCGAAGGCAGGAGCCAGGTGCTTCTCCTGGTCTCCCATGGGGTGTGGGACCCAAGGACTTGGGCCATCCTCCACTGCACTCCCTGGCCACAGCAGAGAGCTGGCCTGGAAGAGGGGCAACCGGGACAGGATCCAGCACCCCGACCGGGACTAGAACCCGGTGTGCTGGCGCCGCTAGGCAGAGGATTAGCCTATTGAGCCATAGCGCTGGCTGGATTTTTAAAATGTGTTTAGAGATGTTGTAATGTATTTCCATGCAAATAGGACTTGAGGAGACATAAGAAATCCCCAAAACAGTGTGTTTTCCCCTGATGTATTTGCTGAATTTTAAGCAACACCTCAGAGAGTAAGAAACTAACCTGGGTCTTAAGCAGCCTCATAGAGCTAAAGAACTAAAAATTAAGAGTTCAGTGACAACTGACCATGGTGATCCCTAATAAACATCAGAAGCAGGAGCTCTGAAGAACTTCTTCCTAGAAGGATGAGATACTTGGGAATAGATCAGCCTTCATAAAGCCTAAAACCCAGCCTTGCATCGCTAAAAGATAACCAGGCACACAGAAACACAGAAATTTATGGGGAAAAATCACAAAAGCAAACAACAGAAAATGAACCACCAAAGATTTAGATATTGGAGTTAGAAGACATAGACTTTAAAATAACTTTAATTAGTAGGTTAAAAAATTTACATGATGAGAGATAATTTCTGAATAGAACTGGAAACTACTTCAAAAGAATTGGAGACTCTAGAACTTTACAGGTCAATAATAAAAATAAAAATGTAAATGTGTAAGTTTAACATCTGGTTAGACATAGCTCAAAGCCAAATTAGTATACTGGAAGATATGTTTATTGCAGCTCAATTCACAATAGCTAAGACCTGGAACCAACCTAAATACCCATCAACAGTAGACTGGATAAAGAAATTATGGAACATGTACTCTATAGAATACTATACAGCAGTAAAAAAAATAAAAAAGGAGGAATCTGGAAAACATCATGCTGAGTGAAATCAGCCAGTCCCAAAGGGACAAATATCATATGTTCTCCCTGATCAGTGACAACTGACCGAGCACCAAAAAGAAAACCTGTTGAAGTGAAATGGACACTATGAGAAACAGTGACTTGATCAGCCCTTGTCCTGACTGTTGATGTACAATTTAATACTTTATCCCTTATAGTATTTTTTTGTCCTACATAATACTATTGGTTGAACTCTGTAATTAACACACAATTATTCTTAGGTGTTTAAATTTAACTGAAAAGTGATCTCTGTTAAATCTAAGAGTGTGAATAAGAGAGGGAGGAGATATACAATTTGGGACATGCTCAATTGGACTTGCTCCAAACAGTAGAGTTAGAAACGTGCCAGGGGATTCCAATTCAATCCCATCAAGGTGGCATGTACCATTGCCATTTCACTAGTCCAAGTGATCAATTTCAGTTCACAATTGATCATACTGATAGGTCTAAGAGTCAAAAAGATCACATAAACAAAACTAGTGTCTGCTAATACTAACTGATAGAATTAAGAAGGAGAGAACGATCCAACATGGGAAGTGGGATACACAGCAGACTCATAGAATGGCAGATGTCCTAAACAGCACTCTGGCCTCAGAATCAGCCCTTAAGGCATTCGGATCTGGCTGAAGAGCCCATGAGAGTATTTTAGGCATGGAAAGCCAAGACACTCTGGCAAAAAAATAAATAAATAAATAAAAGACCTAAATGAAAGATCTCTGCGAGTGAGATCCCAGTAGAAAGAGCAGGCCATCAAAGAAGGAGGTACCTTTCTCTGAAGGGAGGAGAGAACTTCCACTTTGACTATGACCTTGTCTAAATAAGATCAAAGTCGGCGAACTCAAAAGGCTTCCATAGCCTTGGCAACTCATGACAAGAGCCTAGGGAGATTACTGATGCCATAAACAAGAGTGTCAAATTGTTAAGTCAACAACAGGAGTCACTGTGTACTTACTCCTCATGTAGGATCTCTGTCCTTAACGTGTTGTACAATGTGAATTAACACTATAACTAGAACTCAAACAGTATTTTACACTTTGTGTTTCTGTGTGGGTACAAACTGTTGAAATTTTTACTTAACTTACACTAAATTGATCTTTTGTATATAAAGATAATTGAAAATGAATCTTGATGTGAATAGAATGGGAGAGGGAGCAGGAGAT